CTACAAGACGTCATTGCTGTGTGAAGTCATGCGCTCCACCTTCGCGGATATGAAGCACCTTCGATCCGTACGGACTCGCTTCCCGGGCCTGTATGATTTTATTCAGGACCCGGGCCACCATCAACAACCGTGCGTTTACATCAGACTCTCACCATGGCACAGTCCATACTACATTGGTGCTACGGAACAAGATGTTCTTCGCAGAGAACACTCACGCAGCCGCAAATATCTACAGCTTCTGCGGGGACAGCATGCCTGCTTTGAACCTGCACTTCACTACTGGAAGCGGTCCAACAACTACTGGCTCTACTGTGCCATTCCAGTTGAGATCAAACTGCCCCTTTCCTCAGTTTGGGTCCAGGAACAGTACTTACTACGTCCACATCTGAATGCTCCCTGGGTGTTTCCGTGAACATCTGGTTGATTTTCGCCGTCATTCTTTGTCTTCACCTACGTCATTATCTCTCCACAAGCGGTTTCGGCGCCGACCCCATCCTGATCTTCATCGCCAGCTACGACCGGAGATGTTGGATGACATTCAGGCACATTACTCTACTCTTTATCAGCTGGGATCCAACACAGGGGCCTCGTTTCAAACTATGCGCGATTTGTTGTCGGCGGCTTTCCCATCTACCCAGCTTTACTACTTCCTGCGGCTGTCCGCCTTCGTCAACGAGCCTTTTCGCCCCAAGGCGCAGAAGCTCCTCGCCCAGGTCATGCGTAAGCGCCAACTACAGGTACCAACTACCATGGCACAACTGCTGCTTCTTCCGCCTCTACACGTGCGAAATTGGAAGGCTCAGCTTGGAACATGGTTGCAACGTTGGGTCGCATCACATCGTGACCTTTTCCCTTCCTTATTTCTTCCCAAGATCCGAGTTGTGGAAACTCGCAGTGCTACCTTGGGAGACCGGATCTACAACTACCGCAAGTGGCAACGCAGATGGACTCCTGATACGTCGTTTCCGTGTTGCTGCCTAGACATGGACGACAAAAGCATTTATCGCGCTCACAATCATGCAGTGATTTTGGATGAGTTCTCATGCGTCAATGCTGACATTGATCCTGACATCATGGCAGCATCCATGAAGGATCAGTATTTTGGAGATGTTGACAAACTTCAACAGCGGTTTGACATGCAACTTCGCAAACTGTCTCGCCGTTGGCAGGTACAAAGATCCAGTTTTTCCATTGATTTTCAACCTGTGCCGACGCAGTTGATTGATGAACATCGCTTTAACGTTCAAGACCGCGCTCACTGGACTTAGGCATCATTACAACGTACCACTTGCTCCCTGTCCTCGTGGGTTGTCATCCCAGCGGATCATTTCCCATCACGTGATTTGTCCATCGTTGTTTGCATTCTGATGCACAAGACCTTTTACACAGGTGAAGTCTTTGGACTATGCCGCGAGTCTGCGGCATCTTTTCGCTCCGAGGTTGTCACTATGGTACCTGCTCGCCTACAACAACGGTACGGTTGGGGGACTTCGACTTCAGGCACCGTTACCTACCGCTCGCATCCTGCCCAAACCGACCAAAGACTGGCTGAAAGCGAGACCCATTATTTCTTTCCTTCGTACGTGGGCGGCGCCCCTCCTCACGGTCTTCGGTGCCCTCATCTTTGAGCTCACCAAAGTCACCTTTCCAGACGTCCCTGGTCAACTTTCGGTTCAGGAACTAGTGCAGCAACTTTGGGACGCACTATCACAGGAAGATCCAACTGAATACATCCATCTGGTATCTCAGGACCTTTCCGGTTTCTTCACATCCATACCCACTGAACGTTTTCATCAAGCACTACAGGTCTTGCTACATCGCTATGATCAAGTGGTTGGTCTACGCAACTCTTCACAGTGGTCGGTCTATGAGGTGAAGTCGGATCACCGGCGTCGCATGTTCAAAGGCAAGTGGCGCCGTCAAACTAAGGTTCCTCGCACTTTTCGTGAGGAGGACCTTCAATGCCTTCTTGACTTTGTCATTGAACTTAGCCATTTCGAGATTAACGGCTATCTGTTCCGGCAGGAACGCGGTGTTGCTATGGGATCACCTGCGGCCCCCCCTCTCTGCAACCTCGTCGCTAACTGTTGAAGACTTCTTCTGGCACCAAACCATGAACTCTCTCAGATTTCAGATGTCCGACTTTGGCAAAATCCGGACATCATCCGGGTCGAGGAGATGTTCACCTACGCCCCACCCATATCAGACGGTGATCGCCCAACATCTTTGCAGCTTCCGCCTGTCTTCTATGGCGGCACACGTCCAGCTCACCTCGGAGATTTCTCGTCCCCGTCTTCTGAGCGGCCTCGTACGGAGCGTGCAGTTTCGCGTTCTCCTCGCCGCTGTGGATATTTTGGTAGACGTTAAAGAGTTGAGGAGCTGAACATGTGATCTTCCGGCTGAAATGAAAAAGACTTTCGCCCCTCTCTGAGGGGCGTGTGTGTGCGGAGTGGCAGAATACCCTGCCACCACTGTTTCCTATGCAGGGGGCGTGGCGGTCTCCTCGTAGCCACGCCAACGAAGCTATCGAGGATGACTGGATGCATCAAGGGACGCCTTGATGTGTACCTGCGCCAGTTTTGCAATGTCCTTTTGGCCCGTGGTTTCTCTTGCTGTGTGTGCTTCATGTTGGAACTGGTAACGTTTTCGACGCTAGAGGGAAGCCGAGTGCATCGCAAGCCGAAACTTATCCGACTCGAGACTTATCGGTTGTACTCGAGACTCATCAGTTGTACTCGAGACTCATCAGTTGTACTCGAAAGATTAGACCCTCCATCAGGAGTTTAAGTGTGTGTCTGTCTGTCTGTCTGTCTGTCTGTCTGTCTGTCTGTCTGTCTGTCTGTCTGTCTGTCTGTCTGTCTGTCTGTCTGTCTGTCTGTCTGTCTGTCTGTCTGTCTGTCTGTCTGTCTGTCTGTCTGTCTGTCTGTCTGTCTGTCTGTCTGTCTGTCTGTCTGTCTGTCTGTCTGTCTGTCTGTCTGTCTGTCTGTCTGTCTGTCTGTCTGTCTGTCTGTCTGTCTGTCTGTCTGTCTGTCTGTCTGTCTGTCTGTCTGTCTGTCTGTCTGTCTGTCTGTCTGTCTGTCTGTCTGTCTGTCTGTCTGTCTCTGTGTGTGTTTGGGGGGGAGTTTGACAGCACAGACACATACACATACATATACACATACACACATACTGTTGCACATACACCACTTCTTTCTTGCAATTTTTAGCTCAGCTTCTCAGCCGACCAGAAAACAGATGGATCCACTCGCCGCGACTGCAAGCTTGCAACTTGACCGCATAAACCGGTCGTACTGCTGGCAAAAAAATGACACACGTTCGAGAGGCGATGTCTTCTCGGTTTCGGGCTTGCTCACCCATGCCATGTCTCTCTCCCGTTGGATTTGCACGACTTTCATTATCGGATCATCAGACTTTGCGCTTTGTCCGCTTTTTCTCACAGTCTGATGAGACCCCGCTCGAAGCCAAGTCTGCATCAGTCATTGCGGTAGAGAAGTTCTCGGCCCGCTATCCAAAGGTGAACTGGGCGCGAAGGAGGTTTGGGGAGAGAATTCATGCTGGGTTCAAGAGAAGCGCACAACTCAAAACAGAACAAGCAGCATGTTGGAAATGCGGTGCGCATTCATGCCCTAGGATCTTCGGGGAATGCCATGAAGCAAGATACTGTGATTTTGGTGCTTTTTAGGGCCACGTGGATCATATCTTGAACAGTATAAGCTGTCCTTTGGCGATGGCATGCCCGCTTGCTTCATTCTGGTGACGCTTCGGCTTCAGGTTGGATCTATCGTGGAGTTCCTCTTCCAAGCTGCACTGGTGCGGTTCTTTCTCATCTTGCGATTCTTCCCCCCGATACCGAAGCGCAGGTTTCAAAGTGTGGGCGTGCGAGCGCCTTTTTTGCAGGGTGGCGGCAGACGGCCGTGTTTCAGTTTGGGCTGCGGCCCCAGCTTGCGCATGAGATGCGACTCAGTCGGTCGCCGTCTTTTCCTGAGGTGCGACTTCAGGATGACTGAGACCTGGAAATCTGAAACGCCCCCTTTCCAGGTCAGATGAGCGATTTCTTTGCATTGTATTTAACGTCGCCCATGCTACGGCGTGGCATGAGTCAGCCAAGCCGGCCGCATTGCGCCTTCGCATTGTGGGAGTTATCCTTGCGTTCCGAAATCGGTTCCATTAATGGGTCGACGAGACTTCCAGGTACCGATAAGATGACAGCTGCTGGCCAGAAGGAAGCTTTCGGCAACCAGGTGTGATGTGGGAAGTCTCTGCACGACTGCAACCTCTGAGCAATCACCACAGCTTGTGCGGAAAATGAAAATAGGAGCATAGAAAGGGTAAGATTCATCTTTACATCGGTCATTGATCATACACAGTGGCACCGGATTTCCGCTTCCGGGTTTTCTGGAAGCCTTCATTTTCCGCCAGGTTGTTGTAACTCAGGTAGGTTTGCTAGCCGGCAGTTGCCCTGCCTTTCCGATTTCTGCTCAATGTCCAGTCCGGATAGAATTCCATGGGCCCAGAGATCTTCGAGGTGGCTCCAGGCCTGCGGCCCTTTTCGCTGTGGTGTCTAGAGAGGCGCCGGGCTTTCGACTTCAGCTGCCAGTTCCCAGCGCAGACGGACTTGCCGGTCAAGCATGCAATCCGTGCCTGATCCGAGCACTTTTTTTTCGCGCGACTCAGACTTCACAGACCTTGGCGGTTTCTCAAGACAGACAATTCGTGGAATATAAAAGTGCCGCCGGAAGGAGCTATGCTCCCGCGGATTAGCATGGACCAACAATCTTAGAAGGAATCTCCTAGGCCCCCCTGTTTTGGATTCCATGTTAGTCTGGGAGTTAGTCTGGTGGGGTGCATGTTTTGGAAAGCCATGCTCGAGTCGTTGTTGTTGCATTGTTTGCGAGCCGCTGCATACTGAGGCATAGACTGCTGCGCCTCATGCTTTCTGCGCAACATATGACATGCACCAGGCCTTTCGTTTGTAACGCACAAACACAGACCGCGCTTGGCGTGCATCCTCATTGACATTGCCTTGAGCTGGACCAACTACTTTCCCATGGCATTCGCTCGAGCTCGGCACGTTGCACAGGCCGGCCGCGTGTTATTTGGACTCCAAAATTTGGACTCTTTCCCAGACATCCAAAACCACCTGAGCAGCGGAAAGTACATGTTTGCCATTGTAATTGGTTCTACCTGGCTTTATGGGGTTTATAGAAGGGCTTCTATGGGCGTGTCTTTTTTTGAGGGTACCGAGGCACCCAAATAGCCAAACGTCAATAGGTCTTGGGTGCCGCTCATTTGCCCGACGACGGCCATGGTTCTGATGTCCATGGGGACCGGCTGTTGCAACTCATTGGTCGTGGTTCAACCGGCAAACAGCGTGGTTTACTTAGCGGGGCGGAACCGGGCGTCCGGTTCTTTACTGTAGGTTGCTAGTCGGATTCTGCTGGAGGTCGCTGTCAATTCCGTGGATTTAATCACATTTCGGGATTAAACCACATTTTTGGGATTCGGGATTCGGGACTCGAATCACATTTTCGGGATTCGGGATTCGGGATTCGGGATTCGGGACTCGAATCACATTTTCGGGATTCGGGATTCGGGATTCGGGATTCGGGACTCGAATCACATTTTCGGGATTCGGGAATCGGGATTCGGGACTCGAATCACATTCTCCACCAGCTTCTCCGGATCACGTCTCTGGTTTAGTGTGTGTGTATATTTGGGTTTCTGTTTTTTTACCCACTAAGAGTCAATCTTTTAGCCGGGGATCTGAGCACTGCCCAGCTCTAAGTTGGGTCCCCTTGGTGGTCATTCGTTTCATGGGAATCCGTTGACCCCCCCCCCCAAATTTGTGCCCTCGCGCGAAAAGCTGCAAGGCTTTCCGGAGCATTTGTCACGTGGCCCCGCGCTCAGAGTCCACTTAGGAAGGACATGGGTGTGGGTCACTAGGTAACCGCAGGTTTTAGTCCATGTGTCCATTTACCAGGGTTCCATTTTGGGCAATCAATCTTTGTTTCAACTGCAAGCTGTAAGGCCTTTTGTGCACTTCCACTTGTTGGAAAGAAAATAGAAAGGGCGACATAGATATGAAACATGTATGTTTGTGTGGGTGCTGCAGTTTGGAGCTACACACAGTTCATACAAAGGCTATATAAGGCTATGACGTGTTCCGTGTCGCCCCGAACGCTGCAGCCATCCTTTGAGAAGCCAGCTCCAGTAATTTCTACCGGAAGTTTGTCACACAACATCCCGTGGTGTCGCAAAACCAACGCGCGGCAGAAATCCCTGGGGCTGGTTTCACGGTCCCATTCCACCTGCTCTTCCCCTGGTTGGCACCCTTTGACTACTTTCAGGGGCTCAGTTAATTGCCTCAAACGTGTAGAATGAGGTCCCCTTTCGGGTCTCATCCTCTTCACTTGCGGACAAAAGGGAATGGTGCCATCTACTTTCACCGTATGTGGCTATGACTTTCAATCGTTTCGGAGCCACCTCAGTCGTTAGACATGAATCCCCATCTAAATGATGCCCACCATTTCAGGACCCAATTGGGTGCGTCTTGTTTGAGGGCACCCCCCAAAAAACATGTTAGTTTTTCTTTGGTTTCCCTTTAAAGCCAACCGAAGGAGGGTTCCCCAGAAAGAGACTCACGGAAGTCAAGTTCATTCAGCTACAGTTTTGCGGACACGGACATACCTGTAGGCGTCCGCAGAGGAGCTGAAGCGGCTATCGCCGCCGCAGGCCTGCCAGAGAGAGTTTGACAGGAGCAACAGTATTTTCCCCCGTTTTGGGATGGTTGAAACATCACGTTGTCAATGTGAACATTGTCTTTGGCGTGTCAACTCTCCCTTACATTTCAAGCTGGGCTTGCATTGCACAGACTCAAGGCGTCAGATTTGAGTTGATGGTGTCTCCAAAGGACAAATCGAGCAACAGCTCTGGGGTGATGTTTGAAGGGGACAGATGAAGTTCGTTAAACTTCAACAACAAACGCAGAGGACGAGCCCCAAGTTTGCAATGTCCGTTAGGACAAAGTTATTGCGTCACCAATATGTTCCAGGGGTTAGTAGGGCTATTCGTGAAATGTCAAGGCTTTCAGACCAGAAGTCCACCAACCACTTTGGAGGTGGTTCGCTATAATGTTGACTCCGGGATTCATCAACCCGGTTCACTTCCTATCTTCCGGGAGGTGTTCTCTATGTGTTTCTCACTAAAAAAAGGAACCGGGGTCAGCCTGAGCCACAGGCGGTGCTTGAGTTCTGCGGAGAGGTGCTCGGTTTTCGGTTCAACCGTCCCGGGCTCGAAATTCTCGAACGGAGGCCGCGCCGGTCTTGGTCTTCTTTACGGCTGCCTGGTGCCAGCCGTGCTCCTTGGAATCACTCGAGAAATCTCTGACCAGGGTTTGAGTCTGGTTCTGTAAACCTTGATGTGTTTTGGCGGAGCTAAACCAGGGGAGGGTTTGATCTGAGAGGGCTTAATTCTGTGTCTGGTTCTGTAAACCTTGATGGCTTCTCATCTTTTTGGGGTTATCTTCCGGGAAACCACCGTGTATAATTTGTGGATGTCACATTAAGTGACCCAGCTAAACCCCTCCTGCAATCGCAGGCTTGGGTTACAACCCGAAGGGATTTGTTTCCTCAGAGGACATTGGGATACACAACATGTGGGTTGTATCATCAAGGGGAAGAATGTGTGGTGTTCCTCTTGCTTTGCCCTTTAATTTTAGGTGAAGAGCCACACCCACGTGCGAACCGTCTTTCCAAGAATCATGGAGGTGGACATGGGGCGTCTTATCGGAAAGCAATCGTCTGCCAAAAGCCTTGAGCCGCTGGAACCCATCAGCCAAGGCAGGTCTGTGCTTCCGCACTTGGAGGACTGGGATTCTTGTGCACCTCATTTCCAGGACCTGAAATTCATGGGTTGCGGTGGATTTGGACTTCACCCGGGTTTTTTCGGCAAGCCACGAGATTCTTTTTTTGACCCTCTTTCACCGGGTCACATGAAGACTCGCATGGAGGCCTTGGGGACTGAACATGGAGTTCTTGTTTGGTATTGACACAGATTCTTCCGGGTCGAACTTGAACCAAGTTCCATGGAGCTGAGGCGGTTGGCTGAATTGTTTTTTCAATTCGCATTTCAATTCTGGGACTCTCCTTTGTGTGGGTTCCACAAACACATATACGGCGTATCCCTGCCTGTGGGTGTGGCTCCGTTCGTTGAGGGCGCCATTTTTTGGTTGGGTTTAAAGGGGAAATGAAAAGAGAAACTCACAAAAAAAGGGGAATCAAAGGGATAATCATCAAAGGGAATCATTTTGGGGATCCTCTCACAAGCGAGACGCCCATGTGCCCAGATTTTGACCGCACACAAGCCAGCAAGCCAGGCCAACAAACAAACAAACGAACAGACCAACACCAACAGACCAAGCAAGCAAGCGATATGCAAAGGGCGGCATTATTGGCGAGGTGCTTTGATTTGTGGCAGGACATCAGCGACAGATTTGAGGGTCCGCATCTTAAGCTGGCCAGTGCCCTGGTTGTCCCGCACTGCTTGTTGGCCAGGCATGCCCTTAAAGAAAGTGGGTATTTGGAGTCAGGGGCTCCATGTCTTGATTCGACCAAAAAAGGCCAGGGTTGTTGATTTCGCAAGGGGACCCCCTGGGTTTAGGCTCATGAACCCAAGTAAGGCCTTCTTACGGGCTTAATAAGAGCTGTCAATCAGCCCCCTCTCCCCTTCTTTGTCCTCAGGCTCCATCAAAGTCCTGGCGAAATTCAATGAATGTGTCATCTTTAGGATTACCCGCCAAAATTGGCCTCGGTTTCTCTGTGGCTTGAAGACCCATCAAAAGAAGGGGGTGCCCCTAGCCTCGAAGACGAGCCCAACTGGCGCCCAGGCGCAGGTTGATGTCAGCGACTCCCCCGAAGCGGCGCGGGAATTTCGCCCGGGCCCAGGTTGGCCGTGTTCATTTCGAAACATGTGAGCAACGCCCAAAATTCCGAAAGGGCAATTCTTGGCACGTGGTTCTTTCTGGTTTGGAGGGGTTGATAGAAAATTGGATAGTGCTTATTTTAGGGGTGGGTTGGCTTTTGAAGGGAAACCAAAGGAAACCGAAGCCCACTGGGGGGGCGGAGGGGGGTGTCCCCTGGAAAAACACAGCCAAATGAGTTTGTTGTCCCAACTGCCAAAATCCCATGTCCAAAATCCGATCCGCAATAAGCAGTGGTTGGGACCCGGGTAGGAAATGAGTCTTTAATCCAGCTTCTTGCCCAGGTCCACTTTCAGGCTTTGATCATCTTGTGGACATGAGCCGTTTTTGTCCGGAATCCGATGGTTTCTGGCTGAGGATTCTCAGGCCCTGAGATTTGAGGTTCGACGGGATAAATGGGGCGGCTGAGATTTAATTGGCTCCAAGCCACCGGGCTCCACAAATCCAAACCGAATCCAAACCCACCAGGGGGGGCTCCCAAACCTGCCACTTCAAACCGCACGCTGAGTCGGATTCGGATTCGCGTCCCGGATGCGGGTCCCTCGGCTCCCCGAGTTTTAGAGGTGTCGAGGCGGTGCCCTACTTCCTGGTGCTGCGAGATGGGCACGTGGTCGAGAGATTGGCGGGAGACGGCCCAAAGGAGAGGCCGCCGAACGGCCTGCAGAGCTCGGGTTTTTGTTTTGGTGTTCCTTTTGCATATTCCCCCAAAAAAGGGGTGCCCTGGAAAAATGGGCCTCGGTTTCCTTTTGGTGTGCCTCGTTAAAGCAAACACAAAATGGGGGGGGAACCTTAAAGAACGCGCAACAACAAGTGCTAAGCCTTACCAGGAGTGCGAGACGCGAATTTGTTCCGTGTATGGCATCCAGTCAACCCCTATTGGTTAGAATCCATGCAACGGGTCACCCAACCAAGGTCAGGTTTCCCCTTACTTGGTTTGGATTGATGGCTTGGAGTTCAACCCTGGGTTCTTGTAGAGGCACCCCAACCCCAACCCACTAGTTAGAGGGAAGCTTGGGGGCCTTGGCAATCTGAGGATCCGATCGAGCCGCGGGTGTCCAGGAAAAACCGAGCACAATCGAGAGGTTCCTTCTGGGCGTGTCTATTCTTGGGATGCGGAACCCCCCAAAAAGGAAGAAAGGAGCCCCTGGAAACAAAGAACCCCCCCCATTTTGGGGTACCTAAACAGAATAGAACCCCAAATCCTGGTTACTTGCTGAAATCGCGGCCTGATCGGATCCTCAGAGAATCTGTGGATCTCCCTTCTGCATCCTCTTGAGCAGCGCTCATTTTAGAAGGAGGCTCCACTAACAGGCCAAATTGGGTGCGGCTCCTTTTGTCGGGGTTTCAAATCGGTGGATCTCCTTTTCTTTTCTTCCTCCGATTATTGGCTATGAATCGCAAGAGTTGGAACCAGCCCAAGAGTGGTAGGTGGCCCTTTTAATCCACCTTGCTCTGTCTATCAGAGGGTTCCTTGTTGACATTCACATGAGTTCTCGAAATCGTGGAACTCCCGTGGCCAGGAATTCCTTTTGGTTCCCCCCCCCCCTCCCCGAGTGCGGAGCCAGCAGCCCCAGAGAGCCATCTCAGGAGCTCGCCGAGGTGGCCGAGCGACATGCCGCGGCCTTCGAGAAGCCCGCGGCCGAGTTACGGAAAACTTGTTTTGTGCCTTAAGGGAAGCGAGCGGTGGGCCAAATGCAGGTGGTAGCCGGGATTTTTGTGCGGCCTTCTGGGTACAAGCCAGGGTTTTTTTCGCGGCCCCTCACGTATGCCGCCCCTCAGAGGAAGCACACAAAGGGCCAAAGGGCAACTCTTGCGGCAGGCTACAGGAGGAGAGCCGATGAGCCGGTGAACCCCTGGCCGGCCGTGATAACGCACCGCCCCCCCGGGCCGATTTTCGGAGCCAGCCGCTCGCAAAAAGTCAAGCAGCCACTGGAGTGGCTGGTCTTTGGTGTGGATCCCAAAGGCCCCGGAGACTTTTTTTGGGGCACACCTGGCTTTTGCCAGTGAATCTAGAAAGGTGCATGATCCGACCTTTTGCCCGTTCGGGCTTGGAGCAACCTCGGTGCTGATACTCTTGCTCGCACACCGCATGCCTCTCATTTTTGGCCGCTTCTCAACTTCGGCTGACGCTCCCTCCAGTAGGTTCGATGCATTGGTTTCCAATTGCCAGACAGCAACCTTGGCACCTCCCGATCCAAGAGGGCATGGGAAGATCTTGTTCACAAACATGGTGGACGTCATGGGAATCATTTGGGTTGAGCTCCTTGGCCCCGATCGGATCCTGTGCACTGTGCCCTGAAGAGATGGACCTCACGGCGCCTCTTCGCGCCGCCCCGCCGCGGCTTGTTTTCGAGGTTGATTCGGACATGCCGCGGCTGCTCGTGGGAGGGGAAGCTTGGGTTCCGAACATGGAAGGCCTTACTTGGCATGTTGCAATTGGGAGGAGCTGGTTTTTCAAAAGTACAAGTTGATCCTCTTTTTTTTGGCGGGGGTCGCAAACTCTCGGTGCATCTTTCAAATGTTTTATTCGGCGCAAACCTCCTACGGAGCTCAGACCCGGCCTGAGGGAGGCATCTGGCCCCGGGCACTCGCAGACTCGCACAGGTCACGGAGAATGAGGCGCTCATCGAGTCCTCCTTCAGGCCCCGTGGGTTTGGGCTGCGGGGCACGGGGCGCGGTGCTCGTTGTCCCTGTTTGGAGTTCCGTTTACAAAGGAGAGGAACTCGACTACGTCAGGCTCGGTCCCGCGTTTTGCAAAGTTTGTTTGAAGAAACCTCGGAGGCTGAAGAACGTATTGTTTGGCAGGGTTTGGCAAACTTGCATATCTGGGTTGACCCACTCCTGGCCACAAACAGGCTTGACCCGAGCTTGTTGGCAGCTCTGTCTGTGACTACGCACATTTATTTGCAGGTTTCACCGACAACCAATCCCTGGCTTCCTTTACAGGGAAATCCAAAGGGGTTTGACCAGTGGTTGAAGCATGCTATTAGACCGGGGAGCTTTGTTTTCGCCCAAACCTGTTGGGAAGCTTGCCGGTGATTGTTTGGACGAGGGGAATCGCCCAACCCTTTGCTGTGTTTGCCGATTGGGCAACGCCGATTGGCTGACAGGCGTCTCATTGCTTCCGTAGAAGCTGAGCGCGAGAAGATGCGCAGCACCTGGACACAGATCGAGGAGGACACAAGGGCTGGCGTGTTTGTCCGAGGGTATCTTTGCCTTTTTGGGGGATTTTTCACCGCAGAACTGCCTTTTGACTGGTGTCCTGTGTTGCTTCTGTATGCTTAACAACTTGCAGGAAGTGCCCAGACATTTCGCCTCAGTATGGAAGCTCCCGGGACCCATTGAGAAGATGTCTTTGTCTGGCTAAAGTTGCCCCCTGAACCAGAAAACGAGAGCTAGAAACTGTGGAAAGCCTGGTTCTCGAAACGACATAGCCCAACAAGGTGGGTATTTGGAGGGACGGGTAAGTTCAGTGCATTTGATGCCATGGGCCAAGACACCGTGTTGATACCAAAACAACACACGCTCCGCACGTCCTTTCTGGGACTTTGACCGATTTAGTTGGGATTGGGCCTGGTCCTATTCTTTGATTTCCGAGGGAGTGGACAAAAACTCTGCGGCCTGGGAGTTCCATGGACCTAGGGATTGTGCATCGATGTCCATCCGTGAAGAAGGCCTAAGACGTTTTGCAGATCGCAGAAAGACAGGTGTTCCCTGAGCGACCATGACACAATTTTTGGTTCTGCTCATTTTGAGTGGCTGCAAAACGAGAGAAACGGTTGTTTGCTTGGAGTAGCAAGTCAACCCATCAACCCAACTGGGCCCGTGAGCGCTGAGCTTCAGGAGCAGCAGGTCACTGGGGACGATCTTTCCAGGTTGAAGCTGGACACTGAGGAGACCTCGGGGCGCCTAGAAACGCCCGCCAAGAAAGGGTTGAAACACCGGGGTGGCTCGTGAAGTTTTTGGACACCCCGTGGGATTTGTTTTAAACAAAAGCCAGGGATTGGTTTTAAAGGGAAGCCACGAACACTTGAGGAGCAGCGCCTTTTGGTTGCGACTCGAGGTGTTTTTTGTGTGGGTGATGTTTGGGGGAGCCTTTCTCCAAAGCTCCGAAGGGAAGGTCGCCAGGACTTTCCTCCGGATCCCAAACCAAGCTTCATGTATCACCGTTTCTCAGAGCGTTCACCTAAAATGCCAAGGGGGTCCTTTGGACTTCCCTTAAAAATACCAAACAAAAAGGGGTCCACGTCTCTCTTCTTTTTAGGGGACCCCCCGAAAATGACAATCATGGCGGGGTTCTGTTTGGTGTCCCTATAAACCCACAAAAAAGGGGGTACCCTCAAAAGAAGACACCCCCCAAAATTGAACCTTCTTGGTATCTCACAGAGGAACCAAAGGGTGGTCCCCATCGACTGGCACCGTACGATCTGCCAGGAGTGGTGTAGGATAGAGCGAAGCAAGGTGCTCTCCTCAGTGTGTGAACTCCACGAGTGACGGACCGCATAGCGGAGTGCCTCTTTTGAGTAGTCTCACCCCCTAGATGGGTGGGTTTGCCTTGTGTCCCTTTAAACCACAAAGCCACGAGAGGGTACCCTTGAAAAAAGACACCCCGAACCGTAGATGAGTGCTAGGGACCCCAGATAGTTGATTTCCTGCTTGGTCGCTAAGAACCAAAGCGGGCTCCGAATGTTGAGACCCGAACGGTGCGCTCAGATCGAAAACGAGTGGAAGCGTCTGGATCGACTTCGGGAGCGCATGAATGTGCTGAACACCGCATCCAGAGAGGCTCGCAGGGGATGGGTCAAGGGTCCTTGGGACCTTGGGACCGCGACTGGTTTGCGGCGTATTGTGACTCCAGCAGTTTCCAAAGAGGGTTATCCAGTCCAAAGCTCAAATTTTAGGTTCGGTCCAAAAACATCGAAGAGTCTATGGTTGATTTGGATCGAAATGGGGGGCCCTCTAAGCTGCCCAATTCCCATGTCCAGGGCAGTGCCTCGTGGGTCGCAGGAACGAGAGGTGGGACTCCAATGCCCTGCATCTCTGGCACAAAGCCCGTTTCCCCCCCCCCATCCCCCGGGATTCTGGCGCCGGTTTTTGCCGGCATCCCCTTTTTGCTTGGACACCTGCCGGTGGTTTCCGGGCGAAACAAACAACTCCGGAGCCTCGGAGCCTCGGGGCCTCGGAGAGGTGCTGGACGTCAACTGCTCCGGGCAGCTCTTTCAGGTGCCGAAGCGCGCCTTGTGCTTCGTGGAAGGCGGGATCGGGGGGATCGAGGGGAAAAACGGGTGGCTCGGGCTCTGTTTTTTTTGGGAATCGGACACCCCCAAAATGGGGGCGGCGGCGGTTTTCCCACATTAAACCACCCCAAGAAAGGGTAGCCTCAGCAAACGTGGGGGTTTTAGGACCAATGTGAGGGAGTGGCAAGCACAGAAAGGGGAATCCTCCCCACTTTACCACAGAAAGGGGTGGCTTTGGGGATCTTGTCATCTTCGGTTTCGAGCAGCTCTTTGCGAACATGTTTTTTCGTTTTCTTTTTGGGGGGGGTCAGGACTTGAGTTCAGGTTGCCAACATTGTGATCATTTGAACCCCGGATGCACCTCTGCTTGATTTAAGCAGTCCCATTTCAGAGGAGTGCCTTCACTTTTGGAGGAGACGCCTCTCCTTCCATGGTTGTTTGTGGTTGTCTGTCGTTCGAAACGTCGCTCAAAGAAATTCCTTTGGAGTTCCCTTTAACGTGGACCAGGGTTTGGCTGTTTAAACCTGTTCAGTCCTTTTTAAACCTTCTTTCAACAATCTGAGGTATCAAGCATATCCAGGGTTGGGAAAGGTTTGCTGCTAGAGCAACGAGACCCTGGCCACATGCAAAGGGAACCAAAACGAGGGTGTTTAAACAACTGTTGTTTGAGTATACATCAAGGTTTCCCTTAAATACTGTAAGGGTTGGGGCATGGCTCGATTGTTTCAACCAAGTTCAAACCCCCGTCGACCCCCTCCCTGTGAGTTTTGCCCGATTTAGATGATGATATTACCCAACCATTGCCTACTAGGCCGGCTGGCCTGTTTTTTGGCCCCCTCGATGGTTGAAAAGAATTGAGCAGGAATCGCTGCCGCAAAGCAACCTTTAGTTTCCCTTTAGGTTTCCCCTTAAAACCCCCCAAAAGGATGCCCAACAACAGAAGGGTTGGAACAATGGAAAAGGACCCCACCCCTAGGACTTCAATGTTTTGGATTCGCAGGCAGCTACCTGAACCACATGTTCAGCGATGCTTACATTCAGAGTGTGCCACGTGATCCTCAGGCGCGGCGGGCAAGTGAAGGGCAAGGTGACACTAGATGAATAAACCCGCCCCTTTTGAAAGCGGGAATCTCACCTCTAAAGGCGGTTTGATTGCCCACAGCTAGGGACACGCTATGAATACGCTGGGGTTGATGAATCTGGGGTTTCCATTATGAGTTGGTCTTTCTTTTTGGCATTTGAGGCTTGAAACAAACCCCAGTACAGATTCGGTGCCAACCTCGTTTTGATATTTGGCTGGAATGAGTTGACTTGCTGGTTTTCAGTACGGAACGAGTTGGAAATCCGAACTGAACCATCCCCTGCAGGGGGGATCAGGCTCGCTGCCAAGCCCATGGATTCCCTGTCCAATTTGAACAGAACCCGAGACCCGCAGGGCCGCTACTTCTTGGACTTCAACCCCGAGTGCTTCGGCCTCATCGTGGACTGGCTCTTGAAACTGGAGGACAATCCCAGCACCAAGGTCCCCACGGTGCTGGAGCCTCAGGGGCCGACTGGAGGACCTCTGGCCGGTCGGGAACCACCTCCATGGACGCGAATGTTTCCCGGAATTTGGAGGTTCACCAAAAATTTCGGGGCTATTCGCATCCGCCCATTTTCGCTGGGCAGTTGACAGTGCCCGAGATGTTGGGGGAACTGAGTCCATGCACCGGCCCATGTTGAACGGCCCAGTGTCTTTTTTTGTTGTTCCCCTTTACTGGATCAGCCAAAAGGATTTTCCTTTGCAAAACGATCATTCACTAATTCTCCGTTGTCAGCTACGAAGAAAGTGTTGAAGTCCGGCCAGCTGGCTTGTCAGAAACTTGACACTTCCCGAGTTGGTGAAGGCAAGAGGTTTGCTTGGCAACGGGGCTGCCCATCATTTTCCGAGTCCCAGATCTGCCGAGGGTCACAAAGTTTTGGAGCCATGGTTTTTCTGGCTGCTATCCATCGATCTGACTCTGCATCGAAGGGTTTGCCCTCAGGCCTGAGCACCAGCAGTTGAACATGGCTACGAGCTCAGCTTTGAGAACCCCAACCCGGAGAACTGGGGCCATTTTAGACACTGGGTTTGGAGGGCTGGCCAGACTGAGGATTTGCTGGCCGAAGCCCTCAACCTTCGTCAGTTTGCATGCCGCACAGCTGCAGCGAGCTCTCTTGTGTCGCACGCGCAGTCAGATCATTTTCTCGCATGCCGCCAAGTTGGGAACTGCCTGAGAACGAACCACTCCACCTCGCTGCAAGTGCCGCTCGTCCTGTGTGTTGGCCTTCAAACATGGCACTCTTTTGGGTTGTTTCCAAGGGATAGTTCCTGGATTTATCACTGGAACCCAGACAATTGATCAACTTCGCACATTTTCTTGGATTCTTCAATGAACCCCCCGCAAACTTCAATGCTTTCAGCGGGGCAAATCCAGTGGGATTCGCCTGTCGCACCCTGCCTTTGCGCGGATTCCACGTGATCAAGCTGAGGAGGGGCAACGTCGTGGAGGCGGCACTGAAAGTTGGCACATTTGGTAAACCCCGTTTTAGGCTTAAAGGGAACTTTGTTTTTTTAGGTTGGTCTTTCAGGTTGGTTTAAATAGCTCAGTTTTTTCAAAGTTTTTTTTCCTTAATAGGTTTAATCCCTTTTAGGTTTAATCTCTTTCTTAGGTTGCCTTTTTGGGTTTAGCCCCCTTTATTTAGGTTGGTTTCAAGGGAAAACTCAATACTAAAACAAGGGGGACGCTTTCACCAAGAATGTGTCGGAATAGGGGTATAATAAACAACTTGATGGTTTAACGGCCACTCACGCTCACGCGGTCGGATCTTGCTTTGACACATATACTTGGAACAGGGGTTCCTACATTTTTTCTGAAGTCAGTTGAACCAATCACTTTCAACATCTAGTGGCCCCTCTTTCAATCCCTTGTCGCGTCTCTTTGAAGGCGACCCACATGGGCTGGCAGATCATCTCCGCGGAGCACCCGTTGAAGATGTCAGGCCTTAGAGCATGTGGCGTTTTTTGTTTGTTTGTTTGTTTGTTTGTTTGTTTGTTTGTTTGTTTGTTTGTGTGTGTGTGTGTGTGGGGTGCCTTGTTTGGTTTGAATTGAAGGGAATCATTTTTTCTTGTTTCTTTTTTTTGTGTGCGCAGTCTTTTTAGGAAAGCGCAAAACACGACAAAGACCGTCTCGCAACAAACAACACACCTTGGTGTTTCCCTTTGGGGGGATGCCTTTTCCCGTTTTAGGCTACCCCTTTCCTTTTCGGTTGGTTAAGGGAAAGCCTACAGCCGTTTTGGGTCAATGGAGTCCAGAGAGGCAACTCCTTCTTCGAGATCCGGATTCTGCGAAATCCTGATCCGCCGCCGCCTTACAGCGCAAGGCGGCGCACCCTGCCAAAGATGTATGGGCCAATAGAAGGCCCTGGGCGGATTTCTCCATGTGGCTGGCTGACTGAGGAACACAGATCGGCTTGCTATTGGACTTTGTGGGCACATCCCAACGGGTGCAGAGGCGCGCATGCGCATGGATCTTCTGCCCCACGGAACGAACCCGAACATTTCCTTTCCCGATTCCTTCATAAACCGACGGTGTTAAAAACACCGACCGTTTTTCGGGTTCCATGTTTCCCCGCAGAAGTGTATCAGCATATCAGCGCGTCCAGAATGGAGCCACAAACAGCGGGTACCAGCAAGAGACACACCCATATCAACCCATGTCTCAGGTATCCCTTAGTTTGTTGTTTGGATTGGTGGTTTGGTTTGTAGAGGGTCATTGGGGTTTCCTGCCCCCCCAACACCTCCAAACCACCAATTCAGCACCAAGTCACCAAGTAGGGAAGTAGGGGGAAGCTGAAGACTTTTGTTTTTTAAAGAGACAGGTTAAAGTTTGAAAGGAATGCCGTTGAGCCATTTTGTTGGGTGCAACTCCCTCTTTTTGAGTCGCCCGCCCAGAGTCCTTGAGCTTACCGTGCTTCCAAGGTGCACTCCATCCGGATCAAAGATGCCTTCATGCCTTGGCCTGAGATCAGTCGCTTCTTTCTGTTTAGGTGAGGGTGATGTCCCAATGTTTCTCAAGCGAAAATCCCCTCACAAAGCCATGGATTTGTATTTTTATGTTATTTTTTCCCGGCGAGGTACAACAGCAACATCGGGCTGATCGGCGACGTCATCGATGCAAACAATTGCCAAGAAAAGTGGGGAGCTTTAGCCTCGCGTGCTCTCCTGCCAATTGACAGAAGGAAGGGGCGTGTGGAGGACCAAGACGATTCCGATGCAAATGGCTGTTTATTTGGGTTTCTTCCCGTGAGTAGCAAAGCATCGGCGTTGCACTTTGCGCCGCAAGCTGCAGAGTTCTTATAAGGATAAAGTTTGTGGAGGGGATGACCATTGGCGGACAGCTCAGCGGAAACCCGCCCTTTCAGCCCTTCGACTGGCAGTCGTCCGTTTTTGTTTCAGGCGTGCGGCATGACGCCCAGACCAGGATGACACACTTCTACATGAACCGAGCGCCGGGTTCGCAGGTGGCGAGCCTCACGGGTTCGGCTGGCTTGCGTCGCCCAGGTCAGTTGGGTCATGTGCGCTCAGCCAAGACGCATTGGAGAGGATGCCCGTGCTGACAGGGACTCAGAACTGGAAGTGGCTGGTGGAATTTTTGCCAATTTGCCGACCGCGCCAAGGTATCCTATCTTTGCGATGCATGCGGCAGGACAGAAAATTGAGGCGCCTCTGGCGTGTCAAGCGCAAAGTCTTTGTCTCAGGGCTCCTTTCATTTGTCTCTTGCATTGTGTTTTGTTATGTATATGTATATTTGTTGTATATATATATATATAAACCGCATTGGGTAGCTTAAACCCAGCCAGTATTGTTTACATGAGCAAAAGCAACAAGCGCAATATGGGGGGTGGCATAACCCGCAATCCTTCAGCCACTGTTGTTGAAGCGCCGGTGATGTGCAAACCGCTAGGTGGACTTCTCCCTCAGCGGCCCGCTGGCTTCACGCAGGACCCTGGCTCAGTTGTTTGAGTTTGCGTTCTCTCGATTGTACCCGGTACCCCTTTATCAGATTGAGCTGAATTGGTGGTTCCCTCAAAAGGGGGTTCCCTCAACAAGGGGTTCCCTCAAGACACAAACTTCTCAGGTAAACCTGAATTGGCGGTTTGGATTTGATTGGTTCTAGAGGGTAAATGGGATTTCCCATCCCCGGAACACCACCAAACCACCCGGCTGCAAACTACCCTTTTTTTGCAAGGTGAACAGCTTTAGCCGAAGCCATTTTCAGGGGTGCCCCTAAATTAACACATGCACGCGCATACACACAGGCACAGACACACTCTTTTCTGCAGTCATTGTTTTGACTGTTTCTCGGGGTCATCAAAGTCAGAAACTGGGCTGGTTTCTCTTTTAACCTGCCACTTAGGGTGTGACTTTGATAGTGTTGAATTCATTGGGCCAGCTTTTCGTCCTTTTCGCTGCACGGGCAGTTTGTTCCTCGAGCTCAATCCCAGGTTTCTTTTCATCCCTCAGGTCCAGAGAGGTCACCAAAAGTTCAAATAACTGGAAGGACCAGCAAGCACGATGAAAAAAACCAAAGGAAACCCGTTTGGCTATGTCTCACCATTAGGGGCACCCCTTGTATGGCTTAAGGAGACTCCAACCATTTCGGAAGTCCCTGCTTTGACACATAGCCACGCGCATGTTATGCACTGACCTACGCGCTAAAATTGAAAACCAACCGCCTGGGTCTCAAGCCCGATTGGGTTTGTCGTTTTTGGATGGTGCCCCCTTTTCTGATGGTTTAAGGGCACACCAAATGGACAGCCGTTGCGCCACTTCAGGGGGCCCGAAGAAGAAAAGGGACGCGCCCAAGCGACCGAGGCCAGATGCTGCAACGGCCGCGGCGGCGGTGCTTGCGGCGGGCGGCGGCTCTCGCCCCTCGGGCGCGGCGGGCGCATGGCGCGGGCAGGGTTCAGTTGGTTGGTCAAGCCCTGGCTGCAGCCAAGCGGGACGTGTCGGATTTTTTCGGATTCGGGCCCCAAAGAATGTGGCGCAACGGGTTTGTCATTTTGGAACTCCCCTGGGAAACCAAGCAACAAGGGGTTCCCCCCAAAAACGACGAGCCACCCATTGGTTTCGCAGCCTGGATTCACATCACCAGGCCATGGGGCACCTGTAAAGGGAAAATCCCAGCAGGTGGATGAATCTGAACAGCAGTAGTTGTCACATGTTTCCAAACAGGTTTTTCCCATCCCTGGGATCTACTTTGTTGCCAGATTGTTTTGTTCCCAGAACATGCTAGATGGGTTTTCTGGGACCCAGCATTCATATCAAGCTTCCCCCCAAAGGGAAGTTTGTTGGTTTTTCTGAATTGGGACACGCCTGTTAGTCAACCAGGGCTCAACAAAAAGTCTGGCTCAACCATCAAGTGGGTGTCTGAAGCACAAGAGGACCCAACATTTAGATGCGGATGCTGCTCGGTAAAGAATGGTGAGGTTGATGGTGGCACTTTATTGCCCACACCGTTTTCAGGGTCGAGCCTGGTCAAAGATTGGCTGAGTTGGTTGGATCGGTGGGAAGAAAAAAGAACGGATTCTTGAGGGTTTTCAGGGATGTTCCGGGTCAACCTCCAAGCCACCAGGCTCCAAGCCACTTGAGGGACGCTGATTTGGTGGGTCGAAATCCAAATCGCGCCCCCAGTGGACATCCTAATTTCCACTAAACTAGGGTAACATGGGTGGTGAATTCACCAATCCCAACCAAAATGGGATCCCCAAACGGTTTTGACCACCGCAGCTATTTCAGCGAGTTTCGCAAGCCCAGGGCTCCCTGACTCCCCCCGCCAAAAAGCGCTTCGGCTCAGGACTGGCGAGCCATACGACCCCTACAGAGGGCGCTTCCTGAAATCCGGGAAGCAAAAAATGGACGGCAGGGAAACCAACAGCATCCTTGGAACCTTGTAGGGTTTACCCCGAGTTCATTTGTTGGGATAGCGAGTAGTTGATTTCACTTATTGGTTGTACTTCCGTATATTTGTGTGGGTCGCTGTTTCGGTTGTGTCGCTGCCGTTTTTCTGGCCGATCCGTTTCACAGTGCGCGCTCGAGATTCCGTTCCTGCAAAGCAGGACCTTGCATCCAAAGTGCACTAAGATTGCAAGATACGTTAGGAGAAAAGGTGGCAGTGGGTCAAAACCCTGTACCGATTGGAAAGGGATGTTCATCCACCCCAACATGGAGCCATAGGGTAGAAGCCCCATGGCCATGTCTGCTGGACGCCCCTACCACAGTTTTCAGCCCGAACCTTCCGCAGGGCGCTGAGTCGAACTTTTGTTGGTATCTTCGATAGGGAGGGAGAACCGACCTCACCTGGGGGTGATGGTATTTCTCCGTTTATTGTTCTTAGGCTCGAGGTAGGAGCCTTTTGTCCAAAATACGGAGCCATCACGCCCTGAGTTCGAGGATCTTTGGTTTTAAGTGGCGTTTGCCAGGGCTCCTTAAAAGATACATTTTGCCCATTTGAAACATGGCTTTTTCCACCAAAATAAAGGGACACCACCATTTACAAGGCAATGTTCAGGTGTATAATGTAAGGATGCCTGATTGCGGGAGAGGGTTGACATGTGTTGGAATCAGGGTGTGTTGCAATGTAATATTTGTTGTTTCAACAAAGCCCAACAGTGATTTGTTTGTTTGCCCCACCCCAAGCTTTGCACCTCCAACAAGTTCGGCCCCCGCTGGTGGCCATACGCTTCCGGTATCGCCCCGCGAGAGAGCATGGTGCGCTCATGCCCAGACGCTACGCTGCCGGTATCAGCCTGAGTTTGATCTGCCCACGGATTTCGGGGGCCGTTTCTGGCAAGTCAGGGGTCCTTTTTTGTGGCCGAACCAACGCGGAAGAAAACACACACACACACACACACACCACGACTTCTCGTGGGTCATTTGTTCAAGAAGATAAGAACAAGCAACCACCTGTCTTGAGGTTACGGGAACCCATTCGGAGGAACGTGAAGTGGTACCATGGGGCCAACAGACTCGGATTTCGAGGTCACGAGGGAGCTGCAGAGGCTGGGTGTCCATGGTGATTTGGGTGTCAAAATTAAACCAGGAAGTGGACCGCAGGTTAAAAAGTCCATGTGTCCATTTGTCAGGGTTCCATTTTGGGTGCCTTTTTTTGGACCCACAGCCATTTGGGTTCGCTTCAAAGTATCCCAACTGGTTTGTCTCGGGAAAGGGTAAAGGACAAGTCCCGTTTCCTTTGAAACGACGAGGGCCGCAACCTCCGCGCATGCCAAGGGTCGCCGGGTTGGTGTGCTCAAGTTCAGGGGCCCTGGGCAATTGGTGGGAATGACAACTTCTCAATCTGCGTTGGTCACGTCCTACGGGGCTTTGGATGATTTCAGATTTCACTTGCCTTTGCAAGTGGGCTTTCTTTCAGACTCAGCATGAAACCAACAGTGGATGGCAGCAAGCCGGATGAAACTTTTGGACTGTCATATAGGAGATTTGCGGGTTCGAGAAAAAGGGGGCATCTGCACATTTGTGTTTTATCGACATTTTGATGAGTGCCGCGGAGTTTCACGACTGCCCAGGTAGACGGCGAGACGCGCTCCTCAGCTGCAGTTCAGCTCTGGCGCCTTGCCTGTGGAAGCTGCCGTGAGGCGAGCGCAAAGGTCGTTCCGAGGCGGGGGTCTGCTTGGTGGCGTTCGCCGCGCATGTGGCCGCAAGAGGCGTCAAAGAAGAAAGACAAGGAGAAGGACAAAAAGGAAAAGAATGTGGGAAAAAAGGACAAGAAGGACAAGAAGGACAAAGATAATAAAGACAAGAAGTCGAAGAAGCGTGAGAGAAGTGCAGATGGGACAGCTGAGAAAGACGTCAATGTCAACAAAGACAAAGGCAAGAAGGCCTGCGCGCACTGTGAGAAAGCCATGTGTCTTACAAAGCCCTCTTGCCCACTTCCACGAGCGACATTGGTACAAGTACCAAGGTTTGTGGAGCGCTTCAGGTAACCATTTGGTGTTTCTTGGGGATTTGACTCCTTGCTTTTGCAGAGGCTTAGTGGGGGTTTACCACCCAATCACCAATTGGAGTGGAGCTGACAAGGCTGGGCCGTGGCCAGGGAAGGAAAGATGACTTGGATGACATCCTCGCCTTTGACTGGCTCAACGAGGTCAGCCTCTCAGAAGACAGGCGTCCTCATGTGTGCCAGGGTGAACAACCTACTCTCTCCTTTTCAAAGTGGAAGTGGACGATCTTTGGGAAGATTGACTTCCTCTTGAAACGGCTCCAATCGTCCACTTCCATAATTGGAAAAAGGGGTAGGCACTTTGGGTTGTGCAACAGGGGGCTTTGGACATAAGAAAATAGTTTGCGATTCCTGGTTGACCTGGTTTCGGACTGATTGACGCAGATAGGCTCGCAGCAGAAGCCCCGGAATAAAACAGACAACAACGGCAATGATACATGCATGGTACTTGCCAAACATGTACGAGTAATTCAGTCGATACACACGAGTAATGCGTTTATTAGTATTTGGTATGAACGCTCACAATTGCATCTCCAGAGCTACATATCTCCAGCAGGAACCTGTGAACATCCGCAGACACGGCCTTTTTATGGGCGCCACACTCACCATTCGATCCCTCGCTCGGCGTCAAACGCGTCGAAACCCACGCCGTTCCCTCGCTCGGCCCCTGAGCGAGCGCCATGCTGGCGGCCAGGAGCTCAGCGAAAAAAGTGTGGCGGCTCCATGATCGGGGTGTCGTTCTTTTTGGGGGGGGAACCCACAAAATGGCGCAACTTTTCTTTTTGTTTGGTTCCCTTAAGGCAGTCCAACGAGGAGTAGCCTCACAAAAGACAGACCCATTTGCACACCATGGATGATTTTTTACTGGAACTTCCCTGGTATCGTTCGACAGGACGCAGTCATGAGAACAGTATACAATGCCAAACAGATTTGGAGCTCAACAACTGTTTGCGGCTCCGATCGCTTGCGCAGGACAGTCTCATGTGTTTTCCAGAAGGAACCCATTGGTTTGACGCCCGTTGAACGGCTCACCCAAAGGCCTAGCCCAACAAATGGCTTTGCTCTGGATTCGAAGCTTTGCTTGTAGAATCAGAGGTCTAACTTTCAGACGGATTTCACAGGCCCGTCTTTCCGGCGCCTTCTACGGCCTGGTGTCTGCGACAGCGGGGAACCCAGCGATTCGGGAAGCTGGGATTGACCCCGGCTTTAACTTGGTGGTTCCCAGCCATCCGTGTTTTTTATGCTTCTATCTTTTGAGTGGGTTTGAGGGGGTTGGCATTTAGCGCACTGACAGCCAAACTTTTGGCGGGGCATCTGAGGACAGCCCAGTTAATGAAGCCCCAGTTTTGAAGAAGCAATCACTATGCTGCTCAAGAAGGACAAGCTCTTTCTAACAATGGAAGTGGTGGTATGACGGCGAGCCATCCCTCGAATAGGCTCAACGATCTTCCATGATCGTTGGAAAAAGGGAAATGTCGACCCCTGATACATAAACCTCCCAGTTATTTATCCAGGAGTTCCCCGGAAGAGAGGGTTCCCCACTAAAAAGGGACCCCCCCTTAATAAGAAGTGGAGGGGGTAGTTATCAGGGGTCAGCATTGCAGTCTCGGAATGGGAGTGTTGCGGTGCAGGTGATTGGCTTGGCCGTCAACAAGCCGCGGCCCTTTCCTTCCGACTTTGTGCTTGAATGCGGTAACCCTTTGTTGGTGGTTCAGATTTGTGGCTTGGATTTGGATTTGGAATCCTGTTTCTTGAGGGGGCAACCAGGCTCCACACCAAGAGGGAAGCGGACTTGATGCGGTCCGTGTCGGAGCAATTACTGACCTGCCAAAGGTTGCTGGAAGCATGCCTGGGTACTTCTGCTGAAGAGGAGCCGAATGATGCTGACATCTTGTGCATGTGTCAGGCTGCCAATGCAAAAGTCTTTTTGGAGCACCCAGAAATATATTTTTCCTTTGATGCCATCCCGTTAAACCACCTGCAAACAGGCTACCTTCAAAAAGACTGCCAATAAACATCTTCTTTCTTTTTTTTTTTTCTCTGGACTTTTGTGATGTTTGGTCGTTAATCCCCTTGCATCAACTATTTATTAAGATAATTCCATGCTACAAATTAGTTCGAAGTGGATCGGTGAGGAAGAGTTACCCCGCCATCATATCATCTCCTTTCCATTCCTATCTCTCCCTTCCCTAATTCGTACGAAGGAAAGGGACATGTCTTTGAGATCCTGTTCTCTCCAGGAATAGGGCTTCGGGAAGAGGTAAGCCTCCATCATATCCAGGCCGGAAGAGAATAGAGCCATTTTAAGATACGAAAGTGATAGGTGAGAATTGGCTGGGAGAGAAGCCAATGGTTCACTTTCCTCCTGGATTTAAAGCTGTAATTGATGCTTCAGCATTCACGGAAATATATATATATATAGTACACGTAGCCAAAAGGGGCCGGTCATAACCAACATTTTCCCTCTCTGGTGGGTTGGAGACGTGGTTTTCGCCAACTCGGCGTGTCTGTCAGCAGGAGTTGCTGGATGGCTTTCCTCGGTCCCGCTGGCTGTTGTCGGCGGCAATCCAGGTGCGAGCGGGAGAGGAGCTGCGGTTCTCAAAGCTTTTGGTTGGAGCCCCCAACATGTTTTCCATTTGGTTTTCTGTTAAAACTGATCAAACCAGGGGTACCAACTTTAGCAAAAAAGACATGAGAAGGGGCCCACCCAATATTCCCATGTGATCAAAATGTTCAGCCTGAGGGGGTCTTGCCAAGTCTCGTGCAAACGGTCGCGCCAAAGGGCGCTGTCACTTGTCTTTCTTGGTGCACCGGGTTCTACCCCAAGAAACCGGGGCATCCCCACAAGTGGCTGGGGATATACCGACCTAGGCTCCTGAAGTGACCAAACATCTGACCACTATAAGGGACCCATCACCGGTGGCCTACCTTGGT